GATGGCAACCATCCATTACTTCTCCCTAGCTGAAGATTGGGCCATTCAACTTATTTCCACCCCATTCCCTTCCCACAATTTGAAAGTGCAGCAAACTACCTTTTTCCATTCCCCAAGCTGAGAACTTGTCTGAAAGTCACTGAACCACTGACTTAAACGAGTCCCTGATGTCCTTTGGGTGTGAAGGAAGGGGAGAAAAGAGTTAGTTGGAGCTGAGACAGGGTTCATCAGGACGAAAGCTGCCTGCATTTCCATAACTTCTTGCTGGCACTGCCCAAGAAGCCCCTCCAGACAAGGATCCCCCACCAATAAAAGACTATCTGTTAGATTGCCCCTGGCAAGCCCTGGTGGGGGATATCTGGGAGAAAGACGTTGAGACTGATTTCTCCTAGGTTGGGAAGTACACAAGGGAGGCCCCAGAGAGCAACCATGTGCCCAGTCCAAGTAAGACTGCTGGCATCTGGACTCTGGACACACTGAAGAATTGTTACTGTAGTAGCAACAACCAACAGAAAGAGAGCAAACAGCTCTTTCTGGACAGTCTTGCTGAGGACATTCTCTCTTCCTCCTCCTCATCCCTACTTGGGAAGAACAAGAGCCAAGGGGAGAGAAGACATTACCACCCCCTCCACTAAAAGCTGTTGTAATCACAAGTCCACTTGCACCAGAAGAATGGGAAGAGCTATGAATAAAATATGAGAGTAAAGATTTAAAATGGCAAGCCTAAAACATTATACTTGGAAAGTTACTGAAAGTGACTTCATAGTTATGGGACCAGAGTAGGATATTCTTTTTCTAAAAATATTTTATTCATTTATTTATTTGAGAGAGAGAGTGGGGGGGGGTGGAGAGCCCAGGGGAAGGGAGAGGGACAAGCAGATCCCACACTGAGTGTAGAGCCCCATGTGGGGCTAGATCCCAGGACCCTGAGATCCTGACCTGAGCCAAAATCAAGAGTTCGATGCTTAACCAAGCTACCCAGGCACCCCTGGAGTTAGATATTCTTAAGGAAATTCACTGTCAGGGAGCAAGAGGATTTCTGGAGACAATGATAATGGTTATCAGAGAAACAATGAAAGTGTTTCATATTTATATCTCACAAGTTAAGATTTCTCAAACTGGTTATTATCATAATTTATAATTATTTACTAGTTTATTGTTTGTCTTCCCCTCAAACTATAATCACCATAAACCAGAGGCCATGTGTACTTCTGTTCACTACTGTATCCCTTGAGTACAGCATATGTGCTCAACAAATAGTTAAATGAAGATTTCTTATCTTTTAAAGATACAAACTGAAATGTCTCTAGAATAAACAAAGTGATGTCTGGGATTTACTTTAAAATAATTCAGGAAGGTGGGATTGAGAGAGTGGGTGAGGATATAAGTGAAACAAGATTGATCATTCTTGAAGCTGGATGATGGGCACATGGGGTTCATTATAATCTCCTCTTTTTAACTTTTTAAAACTGTGGGAAAATCATAATTCACTTTCCTAATTTTAATTTTTTACTCATTATAATATGAAAACATTCAAATTTACATAAGTTAAATATCTATTTAACTACTACGTAGATTGGACAATGTTAACATTTTGATATATTTGATCTATCCATATTTATCCACCTACACATTTGTCTATCTTATTTTTGATGAATTTCAAAGTAACTTAGAGACATCAGTACAGTTCACCCTTTAACACTATAGCATACAAAATTTACCATGTCTTTTTTTAGTATAAAACCTACTTACAGTGAAATCATATATTTACTATATGTAAATATAACACATAATTTACAAATATATATATCTTTATACTTAAAATTTGATAGTGTTATGTTTGTGTTCCCCTAAAATTCATGTTAAAACTCTAACCCCCAATGTGATGGTATCAGAAGATGGGGTTTTTGAGAAGTAACTAAGGTTAGATGAGACATGCAGGTAGGGCCCTCATGCTGGAATTAGTGACCTTATAAAAAGAGAGCTCTCCCTCTCTCTTTTTCTCTTTTTCCCTTTCCCTCTCTCCCTTCCACTTTTTCTCTCTCTTTCCCTTCTCTCTCTCTCCCTCTTTCCTTTCCCCCCTCCCTTCTTCCCATTTTCTCTTCCTTCCTTGTTTTTTCTCTCCTCTTTCTCTCTCTCCCCGCATGCATCCTCTGGAGAAAGACCACATAAGGATATAACAAGAAATATGCAACCCATAGAGAGAGGAACCAAATTGTCCAGCACCTTCATCTTGGACTTCCCAGCCTCCAGACTGTGAGAAAATAAATTTCTATTATTTAAGCAACCCAGACTATGTCAATTTGTTATGGCAACCTAAGCTAAGACCCATGTTATTAGGAAGCCACTAAAAGGGGTTTGATCACTTACTCTTTTTTTTAAGATTTCATTTATTTATTCATGAGAGACACACACACACACACACACACACACAGAGAGAGAGAGAGAGAGAGAGAGAGAGACAGAGAGAGACACAGGCAGAGGGAGAAACAGGCTCCATGCAGGGAGCCCGACGCGGGACTCGATCCTGAGTCTCTAGGATCACTCCTTGGGCTGAAGGCAACACTAAAACACTGAGCCACCCAGGCTGCCCCTGATCACATACTCTTAAAGATCATTTTGCCTGAACGTGGAAAAAGAAATGAAAGAGGGCAAGAATAGGTTCAGGAAGCCTAGATAAGAGGCTGCTACATAGACTGGGCCAGAGGTGATTTTAGCTTGCCTAAAGTCCTAGTAGAAGCCTAAAGAAGTGAATGGGTGCAAAAAATATTTAGGAGATAAAGGGACAGGACTTGGTGACAAAGAGGTAGAAATCGAGCATAATGTTCAAATTTCTCACTTGAGCAATTGCTGGCTAGTAGTACCACTACTCATTGAGATAGGGAACAAAGAAGAAGCAGGCTTTATTTTTTTTTTTTTTGAGGGGACAGTTCAGTTTTAGACATATTCAACTTGAGACACCTATGAGACTTGATACACATTTGGATATATATATCTGGAGCTCTGAGGACAGGGCGGGAGATAAACTTAGGGAGTTGTCAGCATGAAAATTATCATTTAAAGCCACAGAAATAGGGATCCCTGGGTGGCACAGCGGTTTAGCGCCTGCCTTTGGCCCAGGGCGTGATCCTGGAGACCCTGGATCGAGTCCCACTTCGGGCTCCCGGCATGGAGCCTGCTTATCCCTCTGCCTATGTCTCTGCCTCTGTGTGTGTGTGTGTGTGTGTGTGTGACTATCATAAATAAATAAAAATTAAAAAAAAAACAATAAAGCCACGGGAATAGTTGACATTGTGTATGGACAGGTGTGTGAAGGTAGTCTATGTGACCTCTCATAGGAGGTCAGCTCTCTGAGGAACATTAAGATTTAAGGAGTAGAAGAGCAGGAGCCATTCAAAGAGACTGAAAAAAAGTGGTAATAGAGGCGTAGAGTCACAGAAGCCTTGAGAGGATGGTGTTTCAAGAAGCAGGGAGTTAAATAAATCAAATATTTAATGGCATTTGGTAAAGATAACTTTTTTAAGATTTTATTTATTTATTTTTAAAGATTTATTTATTTTTTAGAGACACACAGAGAGAGGCAGAGACATAGGCAGAGAGAGAAGCAGGCTTCCTGCAGGGGGCCGGATGCGGGACTCCATCCCGGGTCTCCAGGATCAGGCCCTGCGCTGAAGGTAGCGCTAAACCACTGAGCCACCCCGGCTGCCCCTGGTGAAGATAACTTAATGAATCCCTTCACATCAGGGATGATTTCAGCCATTCGACCAGAACTTCTGAAATCCATTGGCAGTAGACTCCTCGCCCACCAGACCAGAGGTTTCCAATGTGTGGTTTCCCCAGAATAGCAGCATCAACATTACCTGGGAAATTTGTATTACCTCAGAAATACAAATTCAGAGCTCACATTTCCTACCCCAGATTTAGAAACTCTGGGGTGGGACCCAGAAATCTGTTTGAACAAGTCTTGGTGATTGTGATGGTCTCTAAAGTTTGAGAATCACTGCACTAAACAGTGCTTAGCACCTGATAATCATCCCTTCCAGAACCAATCCATCTTTGGATAAAAACATTTTCCCAGTGAATCTGTCGACACATATTACCAAGCTGCTGGAGCGTGAGCAACGGGATATTGGTCAATAACCGCACATTTATTGTAACACAGAACTTAATTCGATTTTAATTGTTGGTACGGCTACAACCAGCCAACTACCTACCACTTCTATGTGGTATATCTTTTTTTTTTTTTTGATCTTTATAAGTTTCCTCACTCATAAGATGTCATTATTCCTGGCGTGTACCACCTCATGGCTTGCTTCTCTGTGCATTTTTTCAAGTATGTGATCCTGCTGGACAAGCGTCTAAATCTCACAGCGTAAATTCCTGAGTCACAGATTGTTGGTGAAACTGCCAATTGGTACGATTTAGCAGCAGTAAACTGGCATCACTCACCAAAATAGCAGAAACATCACCTCTGACCCAGTAATTCCACTTCTAGGAATTTATCCTACAGACGTCCTGCACGTGTGCAGAGGGGAGTGGGGCCTCCGTGCCCGGCTGGGCCACAGGCCAGGCCACCTACCCTCAGCCAGCGCGGGCTCCTCCACAGGGTCCTTCAGAGGGCAGGGCCCTCCCCTCCAGGCCGCTCCCCGGCGCAGTCATGGACGCGCGCTCCGTCAGAGGCCTGTTCACACCTCGCTTCACACTTGGTCAGTTGGAAGCAGGTGAGGAAGCCCTCGCAGCCTCAGCGTCACGCACGCACCACCGCAACACCGGCCCAAACCGGCTGCGACTTGCTTTTCTCACTCTCTTTTCCTCCCTCCCCCAGGAAGGGAGGACTAGCGCCCCCGCCCCGCACAGCGCCCCCGCCCCGCACAGCGCCCGCCGCCCGACGCCCGCCGCCGGGGGGCAGGCTCGGGAGGGGCGGGGCCGGCCGGCGGGGGCGGGGCTCGGGGCGGGTAGGGGCGGGGCCGGCGGGGTGATGGCTCCGGTTGCCTCCACCGCCGCCACTGCCGCCGCCTCAGCAGCAGGAACCGAAGTCGCCGCCGCCGCCGCCGTCGCTGCCGCTGCCGCCTGGGTCGCCGGGCGCCCGCGCGCTGCCTTGGCCGGGGCCCGCAGCCATGGAGGACTTCATCGTGATCTCGGACGACAGCGGCTCCGAGAGCTCCGGGGGGGCCCGCTCGGGCAGGGCGCGGAGGCTCCGCCGGGCCCTGTCTCGGACCCCCGGCGCTCTGCCCCGCCGGACCGTGGTGAGTGAGCGAGCCGCCTCTAGCGAAGCGGCGCCGCGGCCGGAGCGTCGCCCCCCTCAGGCCGCGCACCTTCGCCTCCCCCTCCCCGCCCCCGGCTTGGCCCGCCGTCCCGCGCGCCCCCGCCCCCCGCCCGTCGGCGCCTCCCAGCTGCAGCCGCTTCCCGCCTCGCCGCCCGCGGGCCTCTCCCGCCTAGAGGAGCGCGTCGGGCCGGGGCCGCGGCCGCCGGGCCTCCCGGGCCTCCCGGGCCTCCCGGGCTCCCGGGCTCCCGGGCTCCCGGCTCTGGCCGCAGCGGGCCGGGGCTGGCGACGGGGGCTGAGCACATGGACGGCGTCCGGCGCGCCTGCGGGGGGGGTGCGGGCGCCGGCTGCAGGCAGGGGTCTCCGTCCCGGCCGCGGGCTCCGCGGGACCGCGGGACCCCGGGCGGGGGGCGGGGGCGTCGCGGTCCTGGGGGCTGGCCCGGATCTCGAGGCCGGGACGCGGGAGCGTGTAATTGTGTGGCCTGTGGTGGGTACAGATGTGTGCAGGGAGGTAACAGGAGCCTGCGCTGGGAGAGAGGGAAGCGCGGGCCTGAGCCTGAGCCAGATGGTGGCGGAGCTCCAGGGCCTGGCAGCCGAACGAGGGGCCCGATTTTGGAGTTGTGCAGGAGGGCGATTTATTTCGCTTAGCAAACGTTTACCAAGCTCTAGAGGAATAGGGAGGGAAACATCTTGCTCTGTTTCCTTTTCCCTCAAGCCCCTTAGCCTTTGTCCTTTTTCCTGAGATGGTGAATGAAATATATACGGCCCCTGCCTTTCTAGAATCCTCCACAGATATTTACTGAACCCCTAATGTGTGCTAGATGGACTAGGCCCCGGGGGATACAAAGGAGAACACAACATCCGTGGTGGTCCCTCTCACGGAAGGTGATACATTCAACAAGTGGGTGGGAGGTGGACAGGCTTTTTCTCTACCACAAGACTCAACATCAGACTTCCAGCAGCGTTCCCAGCCTCCTCCCCTAAATAAAAGAATTCTTATGCTGCTCTTATTTGTATAGATCTGTAACCAAGAGTTTAAGGAAGACACCTTTATCATATGCATATCTCCTAGTTTCTGCTCCTTTGATCTCAGCCAGCTTGCAATCCCTAAGTCTCCACAGGGAGCCCCTTCTGTGTCCCAGGTATAATGCTAAATGGTAGGTGCTCATTACAAAATGAATGCCATGCAAAGCCAATTAACTTAGAGTCCTAAGTGGCCATGGTTCAAGCATGAAGGATTCTCAGGAAATCTCAGTTAAGAATTTAAATGAGGGATCCCTGGGTGGCGCAGTGGTTTGGCGCCTGCCTTTGGCCCAGGGCGCGATCCTGGAGGCCCGGAATCGAGTCCCACATCGGGCTTCGGGTGCATGGAGCCTGCTTCTCCCTCTGCCTGTGTCTCTGCCTCTCTCTCTCTCTGTGACTATCATAAATAAATAAAAATTTAAAAAATTAAAAAAAAAGAATTTAAATGAGATGGACAGACAAGAGATTTTCAAAGTAGAAGTGAGCCAACTTGGTAAGTGAATGGCAGTGTGTAGAACACAATAGATCCACAATTAATGTTTATTGGATGAAAAAATGGTTGAAGGAAGAGGAGAGAGAACAGTTCAAGCGGATGTTTGGTAAGTGAGAGTGAGTACAAGAGTAGGAGCAGGATTGCAGTAGAAGGGATGCTGCATTCAGTTTGGACCTCAAAGAAGAGGACTGTGGAACTCTAGAGAAAAGTCAGGACTGGAGAGAATTGGTAATCATCTAAATAGAAAAGAGCGCTGGGGGCCGAATTGATGACGAAGATGAACAGTGAAAAGACTATAGAAAGGAAAAAAAGTGGAAGGAAAAAATACTGCAGAATAACTCATAACTATGCCTTTCCTCCTGTCTTCCTCTCTCCTATTGCTCCTTCTCTCAATCCCCCTTTAACTTTGTCAACTTACCAGCTCCTTTTCCTTCCAGGTATTGCCCAACTTCCCTCATCCTGGCCCAGCTCCCTTCTTCAAATGCACAGATGTCATCCTTATCCCAATCTGTGGTGTCTCTTGAGGCCCTTCACATATATGAATGAGTACACTCAAACTGCTCCCCTCCCCTGTGACTACCCAACCAAGCATTTTGATCTTGAGCCTTTTGAATAGTACCCAGTGTAAATCTTGCTTTTCCATGTATTTACTCCAATTTTCTTAAAAACTCAAGGCTCAGTCCTTTTATCACTCTTGCAAATTAAATAGGGTGGTAGGATAACCATGTAAAAGATCAGAAGCATTGTGCAAAGTTAAAGTGTAAAACTCCTTTATCTACCTTTCCCTGAAGACCCTGAGGGAGACGCTCTCTCTTTGCCGCATCTGTTGCTAGAATGAAGACCATTTTCAGCAATCACCCTGAAGGGACATACTGTGATCGTGAAGGCCCGAGAGGAACCCTGCAAAGGGACTTCAATCACATCAGTGTACAACTCGGTCTTCTCGGAAAGAAAAAGAAGAGTTGACAAATGGTGGGGAAATAGAAAAGAACTGGCTACCGTTCGCACGTTCTGTGGTCACGTACAGAACATGATCAAGGGCGTGACACTGGGCTTCTGTTACAAGATGAAGCCAGTGTACCCACTTCCTCATCAATGTTGTTATTCAGGAGAATGGTTCTCTTGTTGAAATCCGAAATTTCTTAGGTGAAAAAATACATTCACAGGGTTCGGATGAGGCCAGGTGTTGCTTGTTCTGTATCTCAAGCCCAAAAAGATGAGTTAATTCTTGAAGGAAATGACATTGAACTTGTTTCGAACTCCACTGCTTTGATTCAGCAAGCGACAACTGTTAAAGACAAGGATATCAGAAAGTTTTTGGATGGTATCTATGTTTCTGAAAAAGGAACAGTTCAGCAGGCTGATGAATAAGATCTGAGTTGTCCAGCAACAGAAACAGCAAGATGCCAGGTGATTTTTCAGACTTATTTGTGATACCTTAAAGAATGCAATAAAAAGTATACTCATTAAAAAAAAAAAAAGACCCTGAGGTCAACAGAGACCTCTGTTCAAATCCAGGTCTCACACAGCAGCCGTGAGAGCTTGGGCTCCTTTCTCAGCTTTTGCACTTGAAAATGTTGATACCTGGCAGGACTATGAGAAGTTTTTTAATGAGGCAATGCAAGGAAAATGCCTAGCATCAGTGATAGCTTTTGATACACTTTGTGCTATTTCTCAACCAAGCTTTGACCTTCTCAAGCTCGGCAGGCAAAGAAATAAAAGAAACAAGTTTTATTTATTTTTCTTTTTTACAAATATTGACTGAAGAAAAACAACTTGCTTAAATTCAGGAAATCAGAAAACTATCTCCAATGCTGTAGTTAACATTTCTGAACCCCTAGTCCTTAACTTGGGTTCTAGTCTTCATTCAGTTTCTAAAATGTTTCTCTGTTTTCCATAATACTTAATTGCTTTTTGTTTCCCACTTATAAAAGCTAAATGTGTTCAGATAATTTTTGTTGACCTAATTATAAAAAGTTTAGAAATATATGTAGGAGAAAATTTTAGAAACCAATGTTAACATTTTGAAGTATGTCTGTCCAAAGTTTTATCTGTAAATGCCATTGTGTATTCATACATACCTGTGTGTCTTCCCCATACATGTTTTTGCAAAAATGAAATTTCACTATACATGTGGGGTTTTTCTTAAGATTTTATTTATTTGTTCATGAGAGACGGGGGGGGGGGCAGAGACATAAACAGAGGGAGAAGCAGGCTCCCTGCAAGGAACCTGACGTGGGACTTGATCCTGAACCCCAGGATCATGCCCTGAGCCGAAGGCAGTGGCTCAACTGCTGAGCCACCCAGGTGTCCCTTTTTTAAGATTTAATTTATTCATTTTTAGAGAGAGTGAACAAGAGCAACAGAGTGCTAATGCAAGCAGGAGAAGGGGCAGTGGGAGAGGGAGAGAATCCCAAGCAGACTCCATATTATGCTACGAGCTGGACGTGGGTGGGACTCTATCTCAGGACCTGAGCTGAAACCAAGGGTCAGATGCCTAACTGAACCATCAAGGCTAAGCATGTGGGGTTTTTAGTTTGCCTTTTGATGCACTTTTTATCTCTTGCTGCACCAATAAGTACATGCCTCCCCAATATATTTTTTTAATGAAGAGCAACTTTTTTAAAAAAAGATTTTATTTATTTAGGGCAGCCTGGGTGGCTCCGCGGTTTAGTGCCAGGTCCAGGGCCTGATCCTAGAGACCCGGGATTGAGTCCCATGTCAGGCTCCCTGCATGCAGCCTGCTTCTCCCTCTGCCTGTGTCTGTGCCTCTCTCTCTCTCTGTATCTCTCATGAATAAATAAATAAGTAATCTTTAAAAAATATATTTTAAAAAATTGTATTTATTTATTTGAGAGAGAGAGAGAGAGCATGAACAGGAGGAAGGGCAGAGGGACCCGTAAGCTCCCTCCTGAGCAGGGAGCCCAACATGAGGCTTGATTCCAAAACCTTGAGATCATGACCTGACCCACAGAGGTGCCTGTCCTTCTCAATATTTTTAATGTATTTCATTGTACAGATTTATAATCTATTAAAGGATATCATGCTGACATTTCTAAATTTTCTCTGTCATAACCTATGTAAAGTCCTTATCGAGACAGTTGGGTGGCTCAGCGTTTGAGCGCCTGCCTTCAGCTCAGGGTGTGATCCTGAAGACCCAGGATCAAGTCCTATATCAAGTTCCCTGCATGGAGCCTGCTTCTCCCTCTGCCTATGTCTCTGCCTCTCTCTCTCTCTCTCTCTCTGCCTCTCTCTCTCTCTCGGTCTTTCATGAATGAATAAATAAAGTCTTTAAAAATAATAATAATAATTTTTTATCCTTGGCACGTCTGGGTGGCTCAGCGGTTGAGCATCTGCCTTCAGCTCAGGGCATGATCCTAGAGTCTCAGGATCGAGTCCCACATTGGGCTCCCTGCATGGAGCCTGCTTCTCCCTCTGCCTATGTCTGTGCCTCTCTGTGTGTGTGT